AGGAATAGACTACAACCTCTTGATTTCGTTAGGTTTCTTAGCAATAACATGTTGAAATAATAGTGACGCTGCAGAACGGACCACTGAGATGGGGCAGTACCGTGAAGGTGACTGTGAAGAGCTTTTTCATCACACACACAAAGAAGGAACTATTTCAAAGAAGAGGAGTAATCAAGCCAATCATAGTAGTTAGCGATTTTTCACAGTTATATGGCTGCTTTCAAACTTTTCTGCAGACATAGTATCATCGCGTTTTTGAACAAAAAAGCAAGGATACGAAGGATAAAGCTCCCGACGTTGATGAATCCTCGAAGGATGCGCCATGCATTCGACTTCAATAAGTTTCGTTGGAGGTGATTGAATGCATATCTAGCCTTTACAATGACTCGCGATGGCCTACCGATGTATCGACCCAGAGGTGCTGCCCTCCCAGACAACTCTGGTACCAATTTGCCGATCCCGAAAGAATCGAGGGCTTGGTGGATCGTGGGCGCGGGGATCGATTCCAATTGTGTGTCGCAGTGGGGCCTCCAACCACTGCGCTACGCAAGCCCCAATAAGCAAGCTAAAGTTGAATGAAAGATAGTGGAGCAGCAGTTAACAAAATGGGCATATGGAAGTTACGCATTTCTATAGCAGAGGATTTTCCTTATCATTTCAACCATTTATCTTCTTTTCTCCAATTGCGCAATAAATTGGACACGTCTTCAGAGGCCACCATTGCCTAATGGACGTTAAGTTTGAATGAAACCCAAAATAAAGCTGATACTTTCATTTTCTAGCTAATAGGTAATAACGTGAGGCGATCATTCGTCCAGTGGGAAGAAAAGAAAGAAAAAAATTATTCACTGATGATCGCCTAATTACCTGTAAACTTTACATAGATCCAAATATTTTTTTTGTTTTGTGAGTTTGTTCTTCCGCTTTATCGTGATAGACGAATGCTTTTAAAGAACACTAGCATCCCTAGTTCAGCGTTTGGGTGGTGAAATGGTGAACATAGTAGGAATTCTTCTGTCTATGTAAGCAACTGAGAAAAAGTAATAAAGCAGAGATATCGCTGACCACTATGTGATAATTTCACGTTGACAAGAAATGCTACGCTTACTCCCATACCCGTCAACGGAATTGATCTGGGGAGCACAAATCGGCATTGAACCCAGTTAGGCTGAAGCTGTAGTATAAATCACAATGTAGCACCCTTTCTATTTATTGTCTATTTTTTTTCACGGCAAGGTATGGTGTGAAATATAGCCACGGTGATGCTGAGATAATTGCAAAACTCTAGACAGCCGGTGTCTGCAGTTGGGATCGAACGCGCTATTGCCATTTCCGATGGCTACATAAAAAGTTACTGCATTGTGAATTGCACTGCAGCTTCCGCTTAACTCCGCTCAGTGCCGATATGTACTCCCCAAATCAACACCGTTGACGCGTGATTGCTGATAGAAAAATAAAGAAATAAAACTTTCGCCGTTGATCAATCCGTAAGGGATGGGCCATGCATTCGACTTCATCAAGCATCGTTTGGAGGTGACTAAATGCGTATCTGACTTTTGCAATTATTCGCCGTTGTCTACCGATGTATCGAGCCAGCGCTGCTATCCTAGCAGAGACAAGTATGGAGCCACGGACGCCGGGATCGGTGCCATGTGTGTGTGTTGCAGGGCGCGTCCAACCTCTATGCCACACGCGATTGCTGATATTACCCATAAAACACGGCTGAGTGAAAGGCGAAAAGAAGGTTCCCTCATGTTTGCTGGTGTGATGATGAACGCGTTAATCCCCGGAAAGGATAGTATCGTGCTCAATTCGCAGCGCAGACACCTGCGCTTCGGAGTTTTGCAATTCTCCCAATATCATTGTAATTATATTTTACATCATTCCTTGCCATGAAAAAGAATAGGCAGCAAATAAAGAAGTCACTATATTGTTATTTCTAATAATATTTTGTAGGATTCTCAATAAGCCAACATGCGTTGTTCATGATCTCATTCGAGAGTTTTTTTCGCTACCATTCCTGTTAACCGTGGATGTTCGTGATGTTGAATCTCTGGTAGCTAAAATTACTTGTCTGAAATGGTGGTATTTAAGTAACGGTGGTCTCCGAAGGCAAGTGCAACTTTTGCATAACTGGAAATAAGTGCGATAATTACTATAATCAGTGTTTTTTAATAAAGAAGGAAATCTTGGGAGACTGAAGGCAGGCAACCACTCCGACAATGTCGTATCATTTGCCCCTTCACTAACGAGTATTCAACCACAGCGCTGCTTTTATCTCGGAATTCTACGACGAATACGAGTGAAATATGGCCACATAAAGGTATTGTCCTATTGTATTTTTTTCACAGCATGTTTGTGGATTGATAACTAAAGTGCTATTTATGCCTTGTTGCCCTAGGGTGTACTGGAAATTTTCCCAACCGTTGTGCAAACCTACATAGTGGCCCAAACACCCAATGAAATCATCAGCTTGTACATGTTACCTGTTACTTCAATTCATTGAAAAAACCTGTAAATTTTTGACTCTTGAATTTGAACAACAATGAAAGATAGGGTGGGCCGGACACGTAATGCGTATGAATGTAACGAAATAGCGGCGAAGTGTAGCGGTTCAGATTGATGTAGAATATTAGCCACGCGGGTCTTTTACTTGTTGTATTGATCCACCAGCCTCAAACTTGAGCAATTAAGCACTTAATACATAAATATAACATTAGTAATATAATAGTAACGATAGAGAAGTAATGGTAAAGGAATGACGCAAGTTAGAGCTCTGAGGTGCTCAGGCTTGTAGTGTAGTGAGGCTAACAACGAGACAATGGCATTCAGATATTATTATACCATTAATACAATATTAACAATAATAATGAATGATTACAAAGAAGGAACCGTTGAGTAGCCGTGAGTGATGCCGTACCGCATCTATCCGAGGCCGGTGCGGCGGCTGAGGGAGACAATATGCTGGGGCGGAGAGGGTTACAGACTAGCCGTGTTTTCGGCTAAGCTAAGATTTCAACATTATAGCGATGAGGTGCATTTTAGTCGATGGATGAGGACAGTTAGTTTCATGAGCGTTGAGGGTGCTATGGACAGCGAATGATTAGTCATCTACGGAGCACAGTCAGGCGGCTGGTGGTGGATAAAGTTATGTCAGCAACGTGAACTTTGAGCATTGATGGGTGCCACCATTGCCTAAGAGTCAAGAGGCCAGTATGATAATGGCTGAAACTTATAAGCCTATAGCGGCTTAACAGAATACATAGCATAAGTTGGCCATTCAGCGGCCTTGTACGCGTGGCGCACATTGTGGGAGGAATGGTACATGCCACCGATGGCGTTGCAAACAGAACGCATTTGGAAACACCCGCCGCTACTGACATCGCGCCGTAGACAAGCTAAGAAACAAGATACAATAATCTGCTGATTACTGAATGACGATTGTGTGAATGAATGAGAATGACTGAGAATGATCTGGGGTGATTGCGAATGACTAGGAATGATATCGTGAGGAGCGGATTATCCGCTCTACCGATGGGGGGGGGTAAAGTGAGTGATGGCATGTCTCCGCCGTCGAAGGCACCCGGCTTATATTGGCTGTGGGAGCCATGTGCGTATGAAACGGCAGCGAATCCGGATTGTCGATCCTGGACTGCAGTAGATACCTAACTGCCTGAAACATCAAACATCATTGGCTTCGTTGTTTGGCAAGGAAGTAGTAAACTGTACCACTTTTACGCCTCCTCCTTCGGAAAAGCCATCGGTGGTGTGCTACTGAAGTCAAACCTGAACCGCTACTGTGCCTGAAACACTGAACATAATTGACCGAGTAGATTATAAAAGTTACACTGCGGTGTTTGATGTGCGACTGCGAGGCAGCCATATATGGACATCAAATACTATTGTCTAGGAAGATAGAGAACTTTTCCAGAGAGAAGTTCTCTATAGAGGATGGACCATTGAAGTATGAAGTGAAGTAATCAGTAGCTTATCCAACGCAGATGTGGTAGGCGTCGTCCATGGGAGGGTGTCCTCTTAGTATTTTCTCACTTAATTTCCTGCTTTGCTGCTTGAGACTATTGCTGTTGAAGAGCGTGTGCGGCACTAAGAATGTAGTCAGTGGAGTGACGCAAAAATGCTTCTACCTCAATGAACTGGCATCACCTACAGTGCCCAGCATCATTTTGACAGCAATTCGTCTCCTTCTAATATTCAGTCGTTGTGATAATTTTTTGGTATGATTTGGAATGGTAGGATATTAAAACCGCAAGATTTAAATGGTAAACTTCTTTGAAGAATTTATACCACTTTATACCACCAATTTATACCAATGCTGACAACAGTATGATTGCATGATGGACGAGTGTTCTTCTTTTTCATCAGGCGCAGCACTTGAATATGCACCAAAAACATGGGAGAGTAAGAACATTATGGGGCATATACAAGGCAAAATGAAGCGCAGCAATTCTTTCAAGACGCAGAAAAAATTGATTCATAGAACACATGTCACAATTAAGGAGGCGGAGCTAACTAAAACTGCCGAGGCGGCCCGTGTGACAACCATAGGTGTCATAGTGAGCGGAGTTAAAAATTAGTCATCGTCCACACCACAAGTAACTGAAATTACGTGGTCGTTACGAGAGTGTTGAATAACCTCTACAAAAGAAGCAGTGGACATCACTGGAACAAAATGTGTACACAGTTGTTGACTACCAAAAGAGTGAAAATGGCAAAGCGGCGAAGCTCATCAGCTCTGAGCAAGAATTGACACATACGTTCTGCACTAAAATAATCTTGGGAACCCGTCTCGGATATTCGATTGTGCGATAATCTTGCCTTCTTACCAAATGTATAGTTGACATGGCTTGATGATCTAGGTGCTACCACTTCAGGACAATAAAATATAGTGTGAAAATGGATACTGTGCTACATGTTGTTAAAAAACAAGCATTTCTGATTTCTGCACCGAGGAAAGAGAGAGGAACGTATTTCTGGAATATATGCAGTCGAAAATGACGCTGGTTCTTTATAGGTTTGCCCCGCCCAGCATAATGGACACATTGTTCAAGTTGAAAACCGTTGCACTATGGCAAGCATTAAAGGAATGGGCTCCTAAAGGTAAACAGTCACTCACCTCTCTATTTCTTCTGCATTTTTTTCTCCATTCTAACAACGCTGGACCATTACTGTAAGACTTTTCTGTTTGCAGGTCGGCTGACCAACATAGACGACGTGGTAGACTACGTTCTCTATCGCGGACCGACGTTTAGCTCAGAGATGAGCGCTCTCGCACATCTTTCACAGTTAAGCGTATTCACGAGGAAAGCTGTCATCTGTGCGCTTCTTTTGTATGTCTTTTTGCTTCATTCTTTACTAAAAACTTTATTTTCTGCACTTTTATACGAATCAGATCTTCCATTAGTCCAGTCATGAACGACTATTCGACAGTGCGTATTAATCAAGAAGCAGACTCTTAGGCCACTTAACACATTGCTACTCGCTGGAGCTAATAGCTATGAAGGAAAACATATTCCTACTGGTGAATATGAAAACAGCGTCATATCCGATGTGCTCTTATTGTTCGGCTACGTGCTCGCTGTCATCGTCTATCTCAAGTAAACGTTTAATTTTTGTTGAAAGGTGATCGTTTTTCCTCTAAAACGATTCATGATGTGTCATTCTGAGTCTTAAAGCATTACTATCACCGTCTTGCTTCCGAATTCTTACTCGAATTAAGGCACTTTGTTTCGATCAAGTGCCACCCACCATGCAATGTTGGAACGAGTAGTCCTATTCAAAAAAAAGTTCATAAATTGATCTGTACATTAAGTTGTCATGATGATAAGGGCAACAAATATTTTCCGATAGCGGCTCCATGCATTTAATGGGGCTTTACTGCAATTGTATGGACTCACCTAGTGACTGAAGATGAACTTAAAAACCATGTAGACAATTAGCTGAGCTGCACAATTCAATTGCCAATTAGCCGCACAATTTAACTCTCTGGCTTCAATCTTGTTTATGGTAGCTTGTATGAGTTTCACGAGGTTGATGTGCTGATGGCAAACAGTGCTTTTCGTGTCGTTCGCTGATAGTTGGCACGCAACGCTCGCGATGCACTGTGTGCAATAAGTGTGTGCAGGGCACTGTGGGTGGAGTGCATTGCACAGAATGCATCTCTTTTTTTCAATTTAATTCGCTGAGCAGAACTTAATATTGCGAGCCCAAAGGTGCGTTAAACCCTTTGGTTTAACTAAGAAATTCGAACAGGATGTTTTTAAACTTTTCTAGTTTATCTTTGAACTGGTACGATTCTTAGCCTATTATACCTACCTCTTGACTTTACAAGAAACAGTTTACCACGGAACCCTGAGTAGATAAGAATATCAAGCAGTGAAGATGGTAAAAGAGAAATGTGAAAGAGAGCAAAAGAGGGCACAGAAAAATGACTTTGTTGAATAAATAATTTTCACAAAATATTCATTGTAGTAATTTTAACGAAAGTGGAAGTTGAGTGAAAGTATGGACAAATAGAAGTGTTTGATAGAACCACAATGATGCTGAGAAATTTGCAAAACTCCGGACTGCAGGTGTCTGCAGTGGGGAACGAATGCGCTATTGTCCTTTCCAGGGGCTAACGCGTTCACCACCACACCATGCAGGTCCTTCGTTTTGCCTGTCTCTCAGCTACTTCTATCGATCACTGCCATCAGTAATCACCCGTCAACGGGATTCATCTGGGAAGAACATTAAACAATTGTGATAGGCAGTAAATAAAAAGTTAATAAAAGCATTTGAATTAAAGCAATTTGGAAGCAGACATACGTAGTTGATGTGGTTACGTAAGAAAACCGACAAGGAAAATTTTAAGATTAAACATAGATTTCTAAGAATGCGAACCACCACTGTAAAATATACTATAGTGCAAATTGATATTTCAAAAACATAACCATGTTTATAAGTTTAAAGCAACGTTTTCCTGCCCTCTAAAACCATTCAATATTGCAGATTTGGGCGTCGTTGTACAATCGCCGTGGCGATGGTTTCAGTAATTATCGCTCAAGTAACGATGTTGGGCACACGAATGGAGATGTATAACGCCTGTTGGAAAAGTAACATGCCTCGAGGCAAGTGCTTATGGGAAAATAGGATTTGAGAAGCTCATTTTGACAGCGCAAAAGACCGACTGTGCGTAAAGCTCCACATAAATAATGGATATACGTACATATATTCCTACGAACTGCCTCTGTTAAAATCACACGAAGTCAACGTCAGTTGTTGTTGTTGTTGTTGTTGCTGCTCTGGTTTGATGGCTGACGTTTTGGCGGCTTTGCCTTGTTCAGAGGTGTTTGTTGCATCTAGTCTGAGACCACATCTACAACAGCAGCAACTGCAACTGATACAAACGTCCATCAGCTCAACAGTGGCAGTTCGTGAGAATATCCATACATATATTTTCACAGACTCACCGATGCAACGGCTGTAAGAAGAAGACAGAGATGGACCCAAAATAAGTTGCAAAACACTTTCAAGTACTGACACAGTTGTTTGGTACGTTGGACCGTACTAAGATTTAGTAAATGGTGGCATACATGCCATCCATGCGCTAGGGCGATTAAACAATTGTTCTCTATAGCACTGCAAAACCGCTCTAATCATCAAGAGAATTGGTCGCCTAGTCTAAAAACCTGAAAAGCCGTAGCCGGCGTGGAATCAAGCATCTTTTCAGGCGGTTGGATCAAAAAGAGAAATTGTATTTTGCCCAATGCCTAATCGGGTTAATAGTAATATTAGTAGCTGTTACTACAAGCATTATGATTTTCAATAAACAACATCTCTTAGTTATTTGGATAGTTAAATTCCTCGTTGTCGTGAGTTGTGTCGGTCCAATAAATTTTCCATCGTTTTATTTCTCACGCAATCGTCTTCCAAGGAAATGGTCTCTTTCGAGAATGACGACTGGTGACGGTATATTCCATCATCCAATCATGATTTGATGATATATCTTTGCACAGTGATGAAACGTGGATGTTTTTCCACCGCTTTTAGGTGCTAGTATTTTTCGAATCATAAAGTGATAAAACCGGTAAAGCGTTTACCTCGATCATTGCTTGTGGGATGTGCCCAGCATTCAACTATACAACAAGCATCGTAAAGGTGATTAAATGCCATGTTTGACCAATAAAATAACTTGGAAAAGCCTGCCAATATGCAGATCC